GCACAATGCTTGACAAGCAGCTAGTAAAGTTCAAGAGTGTCCCAGGCTGCTTTGCTCATTGAGTCTCAGTCTCTCTTCTCCCCTCCCCTCCCCCACCTCTCTCTAATCATATAATAGGGTTCTCAGGAAGTTTAGTTTTTCTTTCTCATCAGGGGAAGCCCTTAATTGCTGACATATGGGATAAATGTCTCATTGTATGTGTCAAATCCACCTATACCTACTGGCAGGGAAAATCCCTGCAATGCCCAGTAGTCACTGACTATTTAGTATTTACTGTTCTCTTCTCTGGTTTCAAAGGCATCTCAACAGAACATAATTAATTTTTTATTATATCTATTTGTTTATTTATTGAGGGAGAGAATGAGAGTTTGGAGGTCAGAGAACAACTTGCAGGAATCAGTTCTTTCCTTCCACCAAGTGGGTACTGGGGATAGAACTCAGGTCATCAAGCTTGGTGGCAAGATTCTGCCACCACTGAGCCATCCCACCAGCGAGATGATATAGCTTCCTCATGTCATCTATTGTCAAATAACCTAATTCTGGAGGTGTGGAATCCAGGACAGGCAAGGTGACTTAAAGGATTGTTCTCTTCTCTGGTTTCAAAGGCATCTCAACAGAACATAATTAATTTTTATTATATCTATTTGTTTATTTATTGAGGGGGAGAATGAGAGTTTGGAGGTCAGAGAACAACTTGCAGGAATCAGTTCTTTCTTTCTAACATATGGGTTCCAGGGATCAAAACTCAGCCCTCAGACTCACTGAGCCATCCCACCAGCGAGATGATATAGCTTCCTCATGTCATCTATTGTCAAATAACCTAATTCTGGAGGTGTGGAATCCAGGACAGGCAAGGTGACTTAAAGGATGAAGGCTGAGTAGGAAAAGATCAGAATCCAATGTCCTTCCTGAAGGAGAAAGTCAAGTGCAGGAAAAAATGCCAGACAGGATGTGGAAAGGCCAATCACGGTAGCCAGAACCAGCAAGAAAACATTCATAGCAGGAAATGTGTTGGCAAAGGATTTTGTTGAATAACAAAAGAAATTTAATTAAAAAGTTCTCTTTTGGGTTTTGTTTTGTTTTGTTTTTCCTTTTGTTTCTTTATGGCTACTTTCTGTAGTCCAAGCTAGCCTCAAACTTGGTTATCCTACTGCCCCAGCCTCTTAAATGCTGAGAATACAGGCATGCATCATTACACCTAGCCTAAGGTTTCTCCTTTAATGTGATGAGAATGTGTATGGTAGAGCACTCCATGTTTGGGGAAAGAAAATGCAATCAGAGACCCAGCAAGACAGATTGGCTGATAACAGAGTTTGCCACCAAGCCTGACAAGCTGAGTTCAATCCCCTGAACCCACATAGTAGAAGGAGAGAACCAACTCCTGCATGTTGTCCTCTGACCTCCACACATATGCCATGGCATGAGTACACCCACCCTCCCCACACAAAATAAATAAAAGTAAAACAATTTTTAAGCAATTGCAATCAGCAGAGATATCCCTGAACACATATTTTCTTCCCTTCCTGAGAGTCCCAACCTCCTCACTTTGTCCAGGCTTCAGAAATTACAATCTTCTAAACCAGATTAAGTAATTTATAGTCTGCCCTTGTGCTGGTAGATTATACATTTTTGAATATTTTGGATATTCAGTCAACTAAACAGGAAAAATACCTTAATTTCATCTTAACTAAATATGTACAGTACTCATTTTTTCTTATTTCCTAAGCAATACAAGTCAAGAACTATTTAAACTGGGTAGGTGGCACATGCCGTAATCATAGCAGTTGAGAGGTGGAAGAAGGAGGATCAAGAGTTCAAGGTCATCCTCACATAAAATGTTCAAGTTCAGTCTAGGCTACTGGAAACACTGTCTCAAAAATGAAGGAGAAGGAGGAATAGAGGAGGAGGGATACATCCATGACGTTTACATTGTATTAACTATTAAATGCAGACTATTTAATACACATATGATCTGTGTACATATTACTGCATTTTTATGAGGGATTTGACCATCCAAGAATTGTGAATTTTTGTGGGTCCTGAAACCAGTTCCCCTTGTACAATGAGAATATGTGAATGTATATGTATGTACACACATATTAATAAATATCACATAAATATAGCAAACACAGCAAATGTTTGTGGGAAAATGGAATTATCCCATCATTTTTGTACTCAGAATCCTAACACTCCCAGTTTTAGGGAGACTGTCAGTGTGACTGAGAATGTGTGACATTTCATCTTCTTTTAAGAGATTTTTGAAGATCAAGAAAACATATGGGGCCTGGAAAGATGACTCAGCGGTTAAGAGCACTGACTGCCTTTGCAGAAGACCCAGTTCTGTTCCCACTCCCAGCACCCACATGGTAGCTAATAACCATCTATAACTCAAGTTCCAGGGGATTTGACGCCTTCTTTGGACCTCTGAGGCCACTGAACACACAGATGCACTTATATCAATGCATAACACTCATATGCATAAAATAAATAAATCAAAGCAATTTAAATACAGGCATGGGACTTGATTACACTTTTTTGCAAGTAACTGTGAACTCACCTCATAAATGGTGGCATAGGTATCATTCTGTATAGGAAAAAAGGAAAAGAAAGCTACTTAAAGTCCTGAAAGTTACAAAATCCTTAATGACACAGTTATAAATTTCTTCCAGATTAATTTCTTTTCCCACCATTGACTAAATAATCAGCAATCAAGCAAACAAAAAGAAACTCATGTATGTTAGCACATGCCTGTAATTTCAGCTCTCAGGAGGCTGAGGCAGGAGATTCTCAAATTCAAGGGTACCCTGGGCTACATATAGAGACCCTGCCTTTAAAAAAAATACCTGTATCTAGGCAGGCCACTATGTGAATAGCTAAAAAACCATGTTGTTTGCACCACTAGAAAAAAATAATAAGGCATGTTATCTATCAGAAAATCTTATTGAACAAAGTAGCCTGTGCCAGACCAAGTTAAGGAATTAACACAGCAGCTCAAGGAAGACACAGTGAAATGAGAGCCACCAGTAGCTCTAGCTAGCAAAGGCCACAGGTTCCTCTGCCCTCTGGACTTGGCTACTCCAGTCTCCACAGTACTTCCTGTGTGGTTGCCTGGCAACAAACAGTATCCCCACTCAGGAGCTCTGCAGGATAGCAGCTGCTCTGTGCCCACCTGGTCAGTGGAGGGGACTCAGTCAGAAAAGATGGAGCACTTCTTGCCCTAAAGGAGTTTACGTGTTAGAGAAAATGATACTTAACACCCAACTAGACAAAGAGTCAAATTATAATTTATATAAGTATATAGTAATAGCTCAATCTAGATGGCAAATGCTCCTCCTTTTGCTAAATTTCATTCTTTGCACACAGCCTCATGGAATGAAATTTAGTAATCAGCAAATGTGGGAATGGGAATAAATAGCTTCTATATAACAGAGTTCTGTAGAACACCATAGATCATGAAAGCAATAAATGGAGAATTGGTTTTTTAGAATCTCATGATGTAGCCCAGGCTAGTTTCATACTCCAGTCCCTTCTGCTTTAGCCTCCAGAGTGCTAGGATTGCAGGCATGCTTCGCCATGCCCACCAATGCATACATAAATTTCATTGTTATAATTTAACTCGTTAACAGAAAAGTATATTAGGGGGCTAAGGATGTGAGTCAATTGGTAGGGTGCTTGCCTTTCATGCTTAAATCCCTGGGTTCAATCTGTAGCACCACATAAACCAGGTATGGTGGTACATGACCATAATCCCAGCACTTGGGAGGCAGAGCAGAAATTCAAGGTCATCCTTCGCTACATAGTGAATTTGAGGCCAACCTGGGCTTCAAAAGATCCTGTCCCAAAAAAACTGTAATAATAATTAATACTTACACATTTTAAAGCACAGTTTTCCTGATTTACAGAGCTCCAAAACCAACATCCTTGGATACACTGTAAGAGAAAATGACAGCTGTGACTGAAGAAAGGTGGCTTTTTCTTGTCCCTTGAAAGTGCATAGTAACAAAATGTATCACCTTGTGTTTTAGAAATAGAAATTTACCAACAAAGTGGAGGCTTCTAAAGGTTGGGACTTTGGGAATTCAAATCAGAGCTACATATCTATAGACAGACCAGGGTTTAGTCTGACTCACTGCCAGACACAGGGCCTGAGAATAGAGTTAAGCATCCCTGAGTGAACCCAGGACCCTGAGAGTACCCAATACTTTCCCCACTACCTGGGTAGCTGGCAGCAGGTAAAGTCCAGGACAGTGCGACATCAAGTGTATTATGGGTCCCCAGGTTATCCTCATACAACCAGTAAAACTCAAACAAGGGGATGTAACCAAGTGGAATGCCACAGTACACCTGTGAAGTTCAGAGGGACAATCTGTAGCAGTCAGTTCTCCCCTTCCACCATGTGAGTCCTGGGGAATGAATTTAGATCATCAGGCTTAAGGGCAAATAATTTTACTCACTGAGTCCTCTCACCAGCCCAAACATAGCTTATTAAACTTTGGGTCATGGTCTCCCTTGAATATGGAGGTTGTGAAAACATTGGTCACCATTCATCAAAGAAGCTTCTTTTCCAACAAATGGAGACTATTAGGGGTCCAAAACTGGTCACACATAGAGAATAAGTATCTGAGAGATGCCCAACCCTAAGTGACACATCTACAATTGAACCTCTACACCTAAGGCTCACAGAACATAGTGGAACTAGGGGTAGAGCGAACACTAATGCATCTCTCAACTCTCAAATGTTCCTCATGAAACAACTATGCACACAGAAGGCCACAACTGGCCAAAGTGTAGAGAATAAGAGTCTGCAGATGTGGGTCTCTGGACAGGACTCTTGTATTAAACTTCACTTACCCAGGGTTCAGGGACCATTGTAAAAGAAGGGCCAGAGAGATTGTAAGAGCCAGGGGAGGAGGTGCATGACCATAAGGGAACAGAGTCTTACAGGCTTCTGGGACCTTGCTCATGTGAACAATACATACAGAAATGGTGACAGCATGCACAAGACCCATGCAAACTCAATCAGACAAAAACCAGGATAGAACTAGGGAAATGGGAAGGAGGCTACAACTTTAGCAAGGAACTATTGGCAGCTGACTAACTACTGCTGGGTGAGAGAGAGTTGATCTTCTTTAAGGGAATGATGTTATACAGGCTGAACAGGCTCCAGTGGATAAACTTATACTGAGGGACATCCAAGTACACAAACTTGGCTAGATGGGTCTTAACATATATGACAAAATGCATGAAGTCCTGTGGGTAGATTATGGGGGGGAGGTGCAGATAGGAAAGGGAAGACTAAATATGATTAAGATGCATTGTATTAAATCCACAAAAATTAAACAAAATATTTTTTTTAATTGGCAACAGTAAAGATTTCTAAATGCTCAAAAATGAATTCAAAATCAAGTTTATAATGAATCTGAGGTATTTCTGGAAGCACTTACCCATAGTGCATTACATGATTTCACTGCAGCTTTGACTCTAGGCACACAACATGTGTACTTTGCACTGTGAGTCCTATCACAGCATACAACAATGGATGCTGGCTGGCATACCTCAGCTCAGATTTGGGACTATTATATGTATGAGTTTCAGTGGGGTTTTTTGTTACTGTATATGCAGAGTTTTCTGCTCTTATAAAAACATAATGGTTTAATTACAGAAAACAGTGACATATTTTTCTACCATCATTTTTCAACATAGAATTAACAAATTAGTATATCTTTGAATTATATTACCTTAGAATGTTTGCTTTGAAAAGTTGCTCTTTGACCACTAGTGCAATAGTGGCACTACTGTTATGGGGGTAACCAACTGCTTTGTGCTTGGATTTGAGGCCCACATCAGAGGAGCCTAGTATTGCAAACATGTTCAAAAATCAATGGCAGAAAAGATCATAGGCTCTAGGGAGGAACTGAATACAGTTGTTTAGCTAAACTGATAGCATCAAAAAGCCTTCTTAATGCTTATGTTTATGCCCATAGACAAATGCTACCTTCATCCTTCATCAGAGAAACCTCTCTGTCCAGTGAATGGTGGTGAATGCAGAGACTTGTGGCTATACAAAGTGCTAAATAAATACAGATGAGTGCTCAGCACTGAACAAGACATTCATAACATCCCATCTAAGGCTCAGGGAATACTGCAGAAAGGAGGCAAAAGAATGTACAAGTCAGAAGATAGGAAGGAGGGCTGAAAAACTCAATACTTGTAGGCAAGATACAACCATTGCAATTACTAACTCACAGCAGTTTCAGATGCCTACAATGGGTCTGCACAAGAACTGGTCTGTCAACAGTCAGGCTTGGATGGAGGAGGGGCTCAGGGGTCCCTCGCCTCACTGCTGAACTATTTGCTACTGATAGATTCAGGGAGAAAGGGAATCCTTGCCTGCAGTTGTGTGCCCACTGTCTCTAATGGATAGGTCCAGTTCAGTGTTCACACAGATGGCCCTGATTAAACTAAACGGGTCACAATACAAAACCAAAAGTCATGAATCTAAGAAAGAAACTAGTAGGGATGTGGGGGTATTGCTAAGAATGGGAGGAAGATGAGAGAAAGTAGGGGACAGAAACTTATCAGACTGCATTATATACATGTGTGATATTGTCGAAGAATAAGCTTAATTTTTTTTAATTTTTAATAACTACATGATTAGAAGAAGCATTTCATTACAGCTTTAACATATTCAGTAACACACTCCAGAGCAAGGATACATCTCTTTCAAAAGTGGCTGTAAATTATGTTTAAAGTTGAATTAATACAGTAATCCAATACTGTACTCAGTATAAACCCTATAGGACATAAAATTAAATGAGTTTTTAACCTTTAAAAAAGATCTCCATTTCATTTTAGAATATATTGTTCCTTGCAGAAAGACTTACTGTTTTTGCTACTAACACTGAGATGTTGACACATGCATCTCTACTCTGTATGTATGTATTACTAGTCATAATCGGTTGCACTTGGATCCTTGGAGCTTGTGTATGTCTATAAAGCCATCGGGTAGATTTCAATGGTAATGTCTATCACTTCTACTAATTAACATGATGTGAATTTCCATGCTTCCTCCTCAAATATAATACATTTTTTAAAATTTGTTGTTTTTTTGTGTGCGAACAAGCTTAATTTTTTATGTTTCTATTTGAGTTATTGATTGGAGTTTCTTTAAAATATTTTAAATGAATTTTGGCTTGGGATTAGGACAGAATTTCCAACCACTTATTAAATGGCCCCAAATATACTTCTGTCATTTATATTACATATAACTCTGAAAAATGTTAAAGATTCTCTATACATTTTTAAATTTTATTTTTATCTTTTATGTGTATGAGCATTTTGCCTGGATCTAAGTGCATATGTGTCATGCAATGCCTACAGAGGCCAGAAGAGGGCACTGGATCCCCAAGAACTGGAGTTATAGACAGTAGTTATTAGTCACAATGTGGATGCTGGAAACTGAACCCAGGTCCTGGCAAGAACAGCCAGTGCTCTTAATCAATGAACCATCTCTCCACCCCCAAGATGCCCTATGTCTTATAGCATCAAATATTTAGCTAAGTGGACAGAAAGATGGCTCAGTAGTTAAGAGCACTTGCTGCTCTTGCAGAGGAGCCAGGTTCAGTTCCCACCACCCACAACCACCTATAACTCTATTTCCAGGGGATTTGATGCCCTTTTCAAGCTTCCTCAGGCCAGCATCACTCTAATACCCAAACCGGGTAAAGACACAATCATAAAAGAAAACTATAGACCCATATCCTTAATGAACATAGATGCAAAAATTCTCAACAAGATACTTGCAAACCACATACAGAGATGCATCAAAAAGATCATTCACCATGATCAAGTAGGCTTTATCCCAGAGATGCAGGGATGCTTCAATATACACAAGTCAGTAAATGCCATTAATCATATAAATGTACTCAAAGACAAAAAACACACTGCCCTCATCTCAATAGATGCAGAAAAGGTTCTTGACAAAATTCAGCATGGATTTATGTTCAAAGTCCTGGAGGGAATTGGACTGGAGGGGACATATCTCAACATAATTAAAGCTATATACAACAAACCCACAGCCAACATTATTCTAAATGGAGAAAAACTGGAATCATTCCCATTAAAATCAGGAACCAGACAAGGATGTCCACTATCTCCACTCCTTTTCAACACAGGGCTTGGAACTCTTGCTAGAGGAATAAGACAGGATAAGGAAATTAAAGGAGTACTAATTGGAAAAGAAGAGGTCAAGCTATCACTTTTTGGAGATGATATGATACTATACCTAAGGGATTCCAAAAGTTCCACCAGAAAACTCCTAGAACTGATCGACACTTTCAGTGTAGTGGCAGGTTATAAAATCAATCTACAAAAACCAGTAGCCTTTCTATACACCAATAACAAACAACTGGAGAAAGAATACAGAGAAATGCTCCCATTTGCAATAGCTGAAAAAAAATAAAATAAAATATTTTGGCATAAATTGGACCTAAGACACCAAAGAGCTCTACAGTGAAAATTTTAAATCATTAAAGAAAGAGATTGAGGAAGACACCAGGAGATGGAAGGACCTCCCATGCTCATGGATTGTAAAAATCAGTATTGTGAAAATGACCATACTACCAAAAGCAATATATAGATTCAATACAATCCCAATCAAAATCCCCATGACACACTTCACAGAATTAGAGAAAAAAAAAACATCCTTAGATTTGTATGGAAGCACAAAAGACCCCAGATAGCCAAAGCAACCCTGAGCACAAAGAGCAATGCTGGGGGTATTTCTATACCAGATATCAAAGTATACCACACACCTATAGTCATTAAAACAGTATGGTACTGGCACAAAAATAGACACACAGATCAATGGAATATCAGTGAAGACCCAAACCCGAGTATACACAATTTCAGTCACCTGATATTTGACAAAG